TATATTATCACACAATCTTTCATTACATTATCAATCGATAAGTAGTTTTCTTATTTAGAGTAGTTATCACATCGTGTACCACTTGTGGTAATATTATTAGAAATATGCTGGTACACGTGAACTGAAGATCAAGTGTTCCGTGTACCACCGGTGGTACACATGGCACGGAACGTGTTAAGTAGATGCTGAACGTACAACAGGCTATTTATGAATGCAACACATCCCCACACGTGACCGTCGACCGTTGAATCGACGACCGAACCCCTAGCCAGGAATCCCCAGATCAAGGAGGGATTCGCCGCATGCACCACACGCTAGGGAATCCCGATAGACAGGTATGAAAGTTTCCTCTGCCCCGTCTCTGCTTACTCTCTTCCGTGCAATGCTTGCTATTCTTCATTCACTCATCCGACTCAGTGTGCTGCGGTTCGCCGCAACTCTTACAAGTGCCATTTACGACGTCCTCCGGTGGTATTTGAAGTTTCGTGCCCCGTTCACATCCCGTGGACACACTGTGTTTGTTGAACTAGCCGGGATATTACACATATGTACAATAACCACCAGTAAGTTTATATTTGTATCATATTATCGTAAGACAATACTAAGCTACGACGGGATTCCTTGTATTGAGAAATGGGCTTCACTCCTCTCTCGTAATAATTCCTTGCTTTCCGGATGGAGTTGATGATCCATCGTTCGTCGCGAGAGATCTCGTGACAATTTCATTTAGAATTGATTTTCGAACTGAACTTGTCGGTGTAGCTTGTGCTCCAATTTGTTTGTCAATTCTTCTGTAAAATTTCTGAATTAACGACCGTTCATTCATAATAAACGATGAATGAATAACAAAATTCCAGTTTAGTAGTGTGAGTATAGAATTTCAAGATTTCTTCTTTCGTCTGCAGTGTCCATTTTAGTACTTTCATTTTCGACATCAACCCCCTGTGGCTCAATTTATCTGAACAACACGTATAAAAAAAAACTCATCATCGAACTTCGATTGATCGCTAAAAGTTGATCAGTTGTCTTAGTCACTGCGAATTGTCTTGTAAGAAATGGCCCCTACTGATGGAACAGTTCAACAACGCTCAATAACAAAGTAGTTAATTGCAATTATTAAGACGCTTTTGACTGAATGGCACAACTGCGACAGAAATCTTGTCTAGTTCACTGCAACAGACACAAATAGATCAATATATTCCATGCATTTAAGTTCTAATAATGTGATAGGACGATATTGCACAAATGAATTATAATATAATTAACATTCGTAAGCTTCAAGACGTTTTTCTTCTAGAAACAGTCGCGAAATAACTGAAACGCGAATCATCTAACGCATCGCATGTAGGCGGCATCGATGCTGATGAATCAATTTTCATCGAGCTATATTTCCTCTTTTATAGTTATAAACGCCAATCGCTTCTCGCACGTGTAATGCATTTATAAACGAATAATTAACAGGCTATTGTCGTACAAGTGATCATCCAAACGACGTAAAAAAAAAAAAAAAAAAAA